TTTTAACAACATGGATCTTTTCCCAAAGACCTTTATGTTTCAATGGCTATTCAATTATTTTTCATTTCTCATAAAACAAAATATAGCACCGTGACATGCTATATGTCTTCTAATATCTTGAGGCAAACTGGCTGACAAATGTATTATTCTCCCATAAAGAAGTGGAGCCCTGCATGATACTTGCAGCTGCATTACCCATGCTGGACAAAACGGCTGCTTTTGTTCATGCCTTCTTAACTGCTATAAAAACAGTTTTTGAGGTTGGAACTATAATGCCTGCTTTATAATACCGTTTTGTTCTTTCTGCAAAGATTCACTATCTTACATTAAACATGCCCATAAATCTCTCAGTAATTGTATATTATTTTTTTCTTCCCTCTATGGCTTCCACATTGTATTCAACTGTGGGCTTATTCAGCTTTGTACAGTGATATGGCAGGTTTATGGGGTGTTATAAACTTGAGAGAAGTAAGGCAATTATTGTTAAGCCTTTGTAAGCTGTTTGAGAAAAGACATTTGCCGCAAACGTGGTATGAGAACAAATGCTGCCAGCTTCAAGTTTATTCATATTTTTATGTGAACTCTTTCTAAAGGATTGTTATCATAACCTTAAAAAGATTAAAACTTGACTTAAAAACTAGGAATTTTTTATTATTTTTTAAAATTTCAAATTAATGTGAGGGACCAAGTTTTTAGGTTACATTGTTCTCAATTCCATTGTAAAGTTCAAGTTGTAGGAGACCCCTTGCCTTGTGCAAATTAGGTGAGATCCTACCAAATGGCTTCCCCCCCTACCAATCACCTTCCCCTCTTCTCTTCCCCTCTTCTCTTCCCCTCTTCCTCCTCACCACTCCACCTTGATAGACTGTATTTGTGTTTTATCATTTGTATGAGTGTATGAGTGTTTATATTTTGGTTTCATATTAGTTTTGAGTACATTGTGTACCTTTTCCCCCCATTCTTGAGATATCCCTACCTAGAAGAATGTGTTTCAAATCCATCCACGTAAACATAAAAGATGTAAAGTCTCCATCATTTCTTATAGTTAAATGGCATTCCATAGAATAGATATACCCCAATTTCTTAATTCATTCATGAGTTAATAGGTTTTTGGCTTGGTTCCCCAACTTGGCAATTATGACTTGAGTAGCAGTAAAACTTCTGGTGCAAATGTCTTTGTGGTAAAATGCCTTTTGTTCTTAGAGTAGTAATGGGATTGTGGGATCAAATGTAAGGTCACTTCTAGTTCATTGAGTATTTTCTGTATTTCTCAGGATACAAAATCAACTCCCACAAATCAATAGCCTTCATATGGCAACAACAGTCAACTCAAGAATAAAATCAAAGACCCTATTTCTTTTACAGTAGTGCCAGAGAAGATGAAATACATGCAAATATATCTAACAAAGGATGTGACCAATGTCTATAAAGAGAACTATGAAACTCTGAGAAATGAAATAGCAGAAGATGTTAACAAATGGAAGAACATACCATGCTCATTATTGGGAAGAATCAACATTGTTAAAATATCCATACTATGCAAAGCTATCTATAGATTTAATGCAATCCCTATCAAAACACCAATATCATACTTTAAAACACCTGAAAAAAATAATACTTTGTTTTATATGAAACTATAAAAAAGCCCAATAGCCAATAAAATTCTTAGAAGTAAAAGCTGATATGAAGGCATCTCTTTACCAGACCTCAAGTTATGCTACAAATCTATAGTGTTCAAAACAGCATGGTACTGGCACAAAAGTAGAGGCATAGATCTCTGGAATA